CCCCCCACCCCCCCGGCCTCTGGGCTGACGCCCCCTCTGCCTTTGGCACCGGCCCTAATTTACTGTCTTGGGGTGACATTCCAGAGGTTCCCACGTGGCCTGGCCACAAAGCTCTGACCCTACAGGCCGTGGGCCCAGTGTGGGGCCTGCTCCAGTGACCTGGCGTGTCCGCTGACTGTGGGGCCACAGTGATGAGTATAGTCGGGAGCCAGACCTCTGTGGGCTCCAGGGGCGGGGCGGGGGAGCCATTCTGGCCGGTGCCACAGGGTTCCCAGGCTGCCCCCATCTGCAAACCCAGGACCCCATCGCACTCTCCAGGGTCTACAGAGGATGCCTCCACACCCAGCATGCCTGTGGTGGCCTCAGTGACCAGCGTCCTCGGGGGTCATGGAGGGACATGACTGCTGGGTATGTGACCCACACAGTACATCCCCACGCTGGCCCCAGCCGCCTCGCCCCTCCCTGCCTGCTCCCTGACACCAGGCATTGCCCGTCTCTGGGGTCCTGGCCAGTGTGGCAGGTGCAGCGTCTTGAGAAAGTAGTTTCATTTCTGTGCCTAGTGACACGTCCTTGTTCCTGCCAGCACCTGCTGTATCTTTTTTGCGGTTGGTGTCTCTGCGGTTCCCAGCAGTACAGGTGGCCACGGGCCCTTTCCAAGGCTGGGCACACCCTCTGGCAGCGTGGCCTATGTTCTTGGCTCCCAACAGCCTTAAATCCTGCCCCAGCCTGATTCCTGGCAAATGCCTATTTGTGGGAAATAAATACTCATTCGTTCAGCGAATACTCACTGAGAGCCCACCGCTGTGTGGCCGAGTTGGGGGCTTTAACGAGGGGGGCGTCTAGCTCAGCCGCGTGCCGCCTCCAGCTTTCCCACCTGCCCTGGCCTCTCTGCCTGGGGCCCCTGAAACAAAGGCCCAGTCCAAGCCTTGTGGGGGTCGTAGGGTAGATCCCACGGGGCTTATAGGGCCCTCGAGTGACAAGGGGTCCCTGCTTTGCTGTGGATCCCCAAGGCTCAGCCTCACCTTCCTGGCCCAGCTGCCACGAGGCCAAGTCCACTCATTCTAGGGTCTCCCTCAAAGACCTTCTGAGATGCCACCCTGTCCCTGCAGCCCACAGGGTGACCGTTGGAGCCTCAGGCCTGTGTCCCTGGGTCTGTGGATGCACCCCCACCCAGGACCGTGGGCTTGAGAACCCCTTCTGTCCTGTCACTACTGCCAGCTTGGACCCCAGCAGGGTTGCTCTGCAGCCCCCTAACCCCAGGAACCGCCCAGACCGTGCTGCTGGTCTTGGTGACAGTGGCTGGCTAAGCTGTGACCAGTGGTCAAGTTGTCTTCCCTGCACAAGGCAGCTTCCGGGGCAGGCAGGCTGGAAGGGGAGTACCTTGGCCACCAGGAGGGCAGAGCAAAGACGTGCACACACAAGGACTCTTGTACACGCGTGTCTGGTGTTGGCTCTATTACCACGTGGTGTCCAGCCAAGCTCTGTGGCCCACGCACTCAGGCCAGGAGCATCTCCTGGGTGGTGAGTAAGGCCTGGACAGGATCCCATCCTGCTGCCTGGCACCCGCCCTGTCCACCCCTGCTGGATGGGGCCCCTTGGGGAGGAAGACTCCCCGACCCCCCCCAAGCGGTGGGAGGCCTCTTTCAGCGTGGCTGGGTCAGGTGGCATGGGGACCCCAGGAGGTGGCCTGAGGTGTGGCCACAGCCCAGCTCGACCCAGCTGTGCGGAAACGCTGAGAGCCTCTGACAGCTTGTAGTTGGCGCATCGGGGCTTCTCAGCTCTCACAAGTAACTCCTTTGTTTATTGCGCGAGTCAGGGTGCAACACGGTTTTCTCCAGGTCGGGCGTGGTCTTGGAGGTGGACAGACTGGACTCTCTCCGGGAGGAACCAGGTCCAGTTGTCCGGACCGAGCTCACTGGTGACCCCCAGGGCAGGGGTGCACAGCACCACCCCTCAGTGCAGGAGAAGGGGTCTTCTGGTCAGGAGGACGTCAGGCTGATCCACGTTGTAGGCGTATCAGGACTTGGCTCCTTTTTAGGGCCGATGATACCGTTGTTTGGACAAACACCTTTATTCATCATCAAGGGGAGTCGGGCTGCTTGGCTCTGTGGCTGTTGTGATGCCGTTGCCCCGGATGTGGGCACACGTTCACGTTTGGACACGTTTTTCAGTCTTTGGATATGTCCCTGGGAGCAGGGTTCTGGGCCCCCTGGAGTCACCCCCCGAGGAGTCGCCAGCCTCTCTGTGGCCCGTGTACCCTGTTGGTTTGAACACGGGCTCCTTGCCAGGGTGCGGGTGGGCTCACACGTGCGTTCACGTGCCATCCGCCCACCCAACACGTTCTGCTGGGCACCCACATGAGAGCGGGACAGAGGCCTTTCCTTGGGGATTGGGGCTCCTGAGGGCGCGCTCAGAGCATCTGGTGCCACTGCTCCTTGGACGGCAGGAGGGCTCTGGTGCTGAGTCCCCAGGCTCTGCTGCGCCCTTCACACAAGCAGACCTCCGGAGGCACCATCGGAGCAGAGAGCTGGTCCACACGCGGACCCTCCTCCTGCTCAGGCTTGGCCCAGACACCAGCCTCGGAAACAGAGGGACTGCCCCTGCTGCCATGGTCCCAAGGACTTTCTTCAGAAGCCCCCCCTTCCCCCCCCCCTGCCACCCAGCTCTGGGCAAGCTGTCCTGGGCCCCAGGCTGGTGGGGAGGGGGTGTCCAGCCATGGCCAGCACAGCACTTCTGACGGCCCCACCAGCCTCTCTTGGCCTCTTTCCCTCTGGGTGACCCGTCCACACCTTCGGCTTCAGCTGGGCTGCCTCCCTGGGGCCTCTGTCTGCTTCCCAGGCTCCACAAGCAGGGTCCCTTGGCTCCGTTGTCCCCCAGCTCTGAGCTGCACCATCAGCCCTGGTTCTGCCTGGCCCATAGCCATGGCACAGCGTCCACACCCACGTCCAGGTGGGGCTGACCCTAGTGGACACTGGTCCAGCCGTGGCCCCTGTGCCGCCTGCCCTGGGGAATCGGTGAGGGCTGGCAAGGGGCCTCTAGGGTGTCGAGGGCACAGGGTCAGGACAGGGGGCCAAGTGGATGGCTGCCCATCAGCTGCCCACAAGGGCAGAGATCAGCGTCAGAGTCTGGCCCTCCATTCAGTCCTCTGCCCCGACTGCACTACGGGCTCCCTGCTCACCACACCCTGTGTGAGCCACACGCCTCCACTCCGGGCTCCCCTGCCGGGGGTTCGGGGCCAGCGCCGGCCAGGGGCCGACAGTCAGTGCAAAGTAGACGCCTGTCCTGAAGGGCAGTGGCTCTGCTGTACGAGGTTGTCACCGGCTGGAGGCTGAGCCAGGTGCAGCCCAGCGGCCCCTGCCACCGCTCACACATTTGGCCACTTTGGTCTCAGGCCGGAAATCCAAACGGATGTCTGTGTGAAGTCTCCATCGGCTGTTCTCTGAAGAGCAAACTCCCAACTGACAGTCCCCAAGCCAGCAGGCACCTGGCCGCCCCAAGGAGATGGGGTGGGGGTTAGCCCCTTCCACAACAAGCTCACCAACACTGGCAGCAAGGTGAGGCCACACACAGGTCCCCACCCACACCCGCCTCCTGGCCAGCGCTGGCCAGGCCTCTCTGTGCAAGCAGGCGGATCACACGTGCCTCTTGGGCACCGCTTACCCCTTCCCAGCAGCTGGAGAAGGCCTAGGGTCTGCCAGGGTGGGGAGAAGGGAGATGGGGGCAAAGACACGAGGAAGGAGCTGTTTGGGGACACAGACATGTCCACTGTTTGACCTGCTCTGGCCGACAGAGACCCAAGGGTTTCGTTAGCGGATGTCTAAGCCAGACCTCAGGGCGTATGTGGGCTTCAGGCTGAATTGATCCAGTGTCATCCTGACAGGTGCTGGGTGGGGGGCTGCATTCCCAGCAGAATGGAAATACTCCCGAGTCCAGCGTGGGGGAGGGCTGGGCGCACCAGCACACGTCCCCGCGTCCCCATACCACCCATCAGGTGCCCGGTGAGCATCTGGAAGCTGTGACTCCCTCCCTGTGCTCCAGGTGAGCGTGGTGTGGCCCAGAGAGGGAGACCCCCACACACAACCTCACAGCCCTGGCCCTAAACCTAGGGCTTCTAAGCAGACGGGCCCTGGGCAGGTCGGGATCGTGCACACTTAGGTCTGCCCGTAGGCGGGAGACCTAGGGACCCGGACACCCCCTCTCCAGAAGGAGGAGGAGACTGGTGGCAAAGCCGTGATTTCAGACCTGGGGAGGGAAGCAGTTCCAGAAATCACATCATAATTGCAGCATTGTATGCAGGAAAGAAAATGGCGGTAAAATCGGAAAGCATCCTGAACCAAGGGGAGCAGGCTCCGCCTCCAGAGAGGAACCTGAATCAAGTAAACCATCACCCTCAGCCGCCCAGGGGCTGGTGCCTTCCCAGACCAGCGGGCAGGCCACATGGGGGGGGGGGGG